ATACCTTTTTTTTTTTTTTTTACTTTGAAGATCATCTCAGACCTTCAAATAATTGTTTGTTCCCTCAGATTCTTCCTCAATCTTCCCCCTAACTTATGCCTTGCTCAACATAATTTTTCTAATGAGTAAATCTTTCTTGCTGCTTACTATGCGCCAGGCACATAAATTTAAATATTAATGTATTCAATTCTTAATCCTTACTTAAACCCCATTAAATTAGTTGTGTTGTCATTTCTGTATAACAAACATGAGAATTGAGACAGAGATTTAATTTGGTCCAAGTCATTGAGTTAGTGTGTGATACAACTGAGTTTGAACTCCCACTATCTGGATCCAAGTTCTATTCTCTTAACCAGCTGCCAAGTTCCAAAGTACTTGGGTGATAGGAACTTAGTAACAAAGAACATTCTGAGAAAAGATGCCAGGTTGTAAACCTAAGATTTGTGTGTATTCCTGCATATGTATGTTATATGTCAATAAAAAAAATACCTTAAAAAAGAGAAAAAACGATGACAAAGTAAATGCAAAGCACTCGGGAGGAAATGGTTGAGATGTTATGTTCTCTAAGTATATTTTCTCTAACACTTTGAGTTTTTAAATTGATTTTTTTCTGAAGCCATATACTCCTTACCTACCATATGGCTATTTAGAAGCAACATGATTTTCTCCTCTTTAAGAAGTTGCAGAGGGGGACTGGAGAGATGGCTCAGAGGTTAAGAGCACTGACTGCTCTTCCGGAGGTCCTGAGTTCAATTCCCAGCAACCACATGGTGGCTCACAACCATCTGTAATGAGATCTGGTGCCCTCTTCTGGCCTTTGGGCATACATGAAGGCTGAACACTGTGTACATAATAAATAAATAAATCTTAAAAAGAAAAAAAGAAGTTGCAGAGGGCTGGAGAGATGGCTCAGTGGTTAAGAGCATTACCTGCTCTTCCAAAGGTCCTGAGTTCAATTCTCAGCAACCACATGGTGGCTCACAACCATCTGTAATGAGGTCTGGTGCTCTCTTCTGGCCTGCAGACATACACACAGACAGAATATTGTATACATAACAAATAAATAAATTAAAAAAAAAAAGAAGTTGCAGAGATTCACAGTTTGCCTGTTGGATGATTATTCTTTTAAACACTAATAAATTTGTCTTCTTTTCCTGAGTTCTTTCTTAAATTATTAACAAGACCAAGATCCTTGAGAAAAAAGCCATATCCCCAATAACACATGACACTGTAGGGGAGGTTCCCCAACCTTTTCAATAGCAGAAAATTGTATGTATTTGACTTCTTCCTTAAACAGTTTTGCCTACAAGGGCTAGATGGCTAGTCAATCTAATTCTTCTATCCTTAAGCAGACATAGTTATGGCTGTGGTCTCTCTCTCCCTACTTTGTAATCTATCACATTTTTGTGTCATAAGACAAAACATATAGATATAACCTACTGTGAATTTCATTCCAGGCTAGTCACTTCAATGGGTATGGGGTAACTCTACCTCAGATCAGGAAGGTAATCAAAAAGTTAGAATGATAAAAATTAAACTTCTATAACCAAATATATTAAGATCAATATACTCTTCATTGTCATTTTTAAGATTTATTTTTTTATTTTTATTTATGTATATACATGTGTGTCTGTGTATAAACATATGAGTGCAGGTGCCCACACAGGACAGAAGAAGATTTTTTTGGTCCACTGGATCTATAGTTACAGGTGGTTGTGAGCCATCTGATATGGTTATTGGAAACCAAACTTGGGTTCTCTGCAAAACAGTAGGGACTTTTAACCTCTGAGACATCTCTCCAAACCCTGAGTTTCAGCGATTTTGAAATAATCCCCCTGGCAGAGACCTGTTGTCAGCACGGGGGATGAAAAGCATTGTTGTTGCTCTTTAGAAACTCAGAACACAATAGAAGATGGTACGTGGACACAATCACGATAAATGTAAGACAGAGAAAGAAAGATGTTTTAGCCATGTGTGGTAGGGCTCGCCTGTAACACCAGCACTTGAAAGACAAAGGCAAGAAACTCGGGAGTTCTAGGTCATGCTAGGCCATATTAGGGTCAGGTTTGCCTGGGATGTATAAGACACTGTCTCGAAAAGAATGTGCAATTAAAGCTGAAAAGACGAGGGGTGGTGACTGGGTATTAGGGTACAAGCTCACAGAGACCTGTCATGTGATTTGGACTGTGGAGGAGAACGGGAAATCAGAAGAGAATGCACAGCTAATTCTACACACACATCCTGGTATTTCAGGGGGGATGGACAGATATGGACCAGAAATGGAAGTCAGTTCCAGACTAGGAATGATACTGTGAGCAGCAGATTGAAGTGGAGTTTGCTGTTCATTGTACTGATAATGAGAAGAATGTTGAAGGAGTAGTGCGGACAGGCATCGCTTTCTCAGCATTTCAAACTAACATAGGCACTCGTTGACACTGTAAAGTTGTGCTTACAGATGAATAGTATCTCCTGATCAAGAAATTTGTTTCAATGTGAGCAAACTTCACATTTCTCAGGGGGACTAGAAGATACCCCAATATGAATGAGAAAAGAAATGGAAATTCAAACTTTTAGCAGAAGAAAGAACTAGAAGACTGGTCAACTTTAAACAAGCAAGAACAGTAGCTGGGAACTTATTGTAAAACAAAGAAAAAAGTGATGTATCTGGTTTATCTGTTAATGTTCTGCCCATTCTTTCACCCTGTGTAACATAAGGCAGTGTTGTTGGGATATGACCTTCACTATGGGGACTGCATGGTCCGACTAGGGGGTAATTCATAGGTAAACATAGGAAATTAGTATCCATTATGCTGCATGTCTGAGTTATAGTATATTGTGTCTTATTTTTACTTTACTTCCTTCTTTTTTCTAGGCTTTAGGCAAATGTTGTCATGGAAAATTGGGAAATATCACTGTAAATGATCCCAGTCTTCTTGCAACATATGCAGACATTTGTCTCTTCATCCTCTCCTAAGTCGGTTTCAAACGTTTGTAAACTCAACTACAGTTTATGTGTTGCATACATTTTGCCTTGTGCAATTCCCCCAAGGCTACCTACAGAGTTAACAGATTACTTTAGTAGTTGGTAGGATAAGGGGGGGGGGGGGTGGGAAGAACAGTGAGATATGCAGGCTGCTCTGATCAGATTTTCAGATTGTCCTAACCTCTCCATTAACGCTAATGCTAAAAGCAAGAACTTTAGAACCTTAGTGGGGGCCATTGTAGTGTTCGTTTTTATTTTCTGCTTTTTGAGCTTTCTGCATTCCACATGTTAATGTAATCTGGAAAGCAAATATCTAGGTGAAATACAGTCGCTACAATGACTGTATTGAGTCTACTAGTTGCCAGAGACTTGCCTATAGTCAGTTCTCTCTCTCTCTCTCTTGTTCTCTCTCTCTCTCCCTCTCTCTCTCTCTCTCTCTCTCTCTCCCTCTCCCTCTCCTTCTCCCTCTCTCTCTTCATCCCTCCTTCCCTTCCTCCCCCAATCCCCCAACCCCTCTATCTCATTCACTCTCCCTCCCTGTCTCTCTTCTCTCAGAAGCTTAGGGGCCAGAGTGGAATACACATGCTATGTTTCTTCTATGTTTATTCATGAAAAATATCTGGTAGGTGAATTTCCTTATATAACTTTTTCTAAGCTACAGTAACCAAGATTCCCAAACTGGCGGGGAGAAGAGGATTTCCAACCACACAAATGTGCTGTATGTTTTCTGTTACAGTTCTGAATGCTAAAATTGCAAGATGTAAATGAGTTCATTCTTTCTGAAAGCTGTAAGGAAGACTCTGTTGTGGGCTTTTGCCCTTGCTTCTCGTAGTCCTGGGGACTCTCTTAAACCCAAGATAAAGGTGGCAAAATGACACTTGGGCATTGAAATATTGTCAGAGAAGCTCACAATGTAAGTATCTTCTTGAACTAAGAAAAAGCTGATTATTGATAATTTACTCACTGTTAACAAAAATATTACCATTGCTTTTAAAAACATGTTGAGCCATCAATCAATTACTAACATCTAATGTAACTGCGTAAACGAATGCAGACAGATTGTAAAAATATATACAGCTTTAATGGTGAAATAGACTTACAGAACCACCATTCAGTGGAGACCAGGAAAGCAGCTGCAAGAGCTGAGAGCACGCCAGATTTATAGGTAAACATTAGCCCGAGGCGAACACGCCCCCTAAGGAATGGGACTTATCACTACAATCTAAGCACCTGTAAAACTCAAGAGCAAGAGATCAGTATTCTCTATGAAAAGCCATAGTCCTAGAAGGAAAACAGGAGCCATGATATACATGCTGGTGATTTTATTGATGCTTTGAGCTGGAGGAAAGGAAGGGCCAAGTGGTTTTTACTCTTCTGAAAGTTCTCAGTTATTCTCTGAAACAAAGGGAAGGACTTTAGGAGTCAAATAGTCATAAACATGTATGCCTGATACCTTCACTATCCAGTAGGCTCATTAAAATACATTATATTGCTGGATGTCATGCCCTATGTCTGTGTCCCTAGCACTCCGGAGGCTAAGGCAGGAAGACCATCGAATGTGATTTTAATTTGGACTGCATAGTGAATTCTAGACCAGCCTGGGCTACAAAGTGAAGCTCTGTCTCAAAACAAGCAAATAAACAAACAAACACATTAAGAGAGAGAACAGGACAAGGGAGTGGGTAGGAGAGGGGGAAAAGAAGGAAGAAGAAAGAGAAGGGAGATGATAAGAGAGTGAGAACTTGGGAACACATTAAATTAATCTAATGAGAGAGAGACTGACAGCACAGAAGAAAAATTTCTGCTGTCAGAAGGAAGAGGGCCTTTGATGTATAGATGTGAGGCAGGTAGAATCATGGCAAGAACACATGGGGAAAGAGTGTTAGAGAGAAAAACAAGATGCAAAACTCAGATAAATGAGAAAAACATGAGGAATTTAAAGAGCAATTCACTAAATGGCAGAGTTTAATTAGTCCCTAGGAAATAGTTGGAGGCTATCTTTAGCTGCCTCTCCTTTTCACTGGTCACCAGGAATGCTGTCATACTGACCCCTTTGATTTCTCTTGCCATCTTTTCCACGTTGTATTTTCTGATCACCTTTTGCATTATGGCCGTTCTCACCTCTCTGGCCCCCATGACCACGTCCTCGTTGGCCACCTCTTCCTTGTTGATTTTGACTCTGACGATTCCGACCTCTCAAACCTTCACCATCAGAGCCTAGATTAACGCCTTGGCCATTTCCTTGGTCGAGCTTCCCTCTCCTTTGTATGAGATCTTTAGCCTTCTTGCTATGCTGACTTAGTTGTTCTTGACCATGGTTCTTTATTTCCTTTAGCCCAGCATGGAGATAACCAACTTTTGGGGGAGAGAGAACACACATTCAGAAAAGATTAAAAATAGAGAAAGAATCACCATGAACTTAAAAAGAAAATCATGAAATCTATCATTGATTTGATATAGTGAGACATTGTTTTACTACCGTAGATGTTATTAGGTAGTGACTAGGTCCCATTCCTAGCAAAAAAAGGATCAGAGTGATCTTGCCTAAATGTGTATAATTACTTACTAAGGAACATTTTGCTTTTCTGTCCCAATTTACTCTCTCCTCTCTTTTGATACAGCTGCTATTATTATATAGCATCATCTATTCATCTAACTTGAACTTGGTTTGTTCTATATAAAACCACCCATATTCCATCATATTTCTCAGTGCCTGAGAGAAATCATAATATAAATCTGTTGGTACACATGTCTGTTGCTTAAAGGACGGCTAGAAAATCAATTCGCCATTTATAATACCTTTCACACCCTGATGCTAAATTACATTTTCAACTCTTCATATTACTTCAACTATATGCCTTTTTAACCATCTAAGATTAATCTTCTAAAGTTATAATGTAAGTATAGATATAGCTGTGAGTTGTACCATCTCTTGTATGAAGTCTTTCTTTTCCTCTAATGCTGTGAGATCTACAATTTTCTATGCCCATTTTTCTGACAGTGGCCCTGGTTATGACCAAGCTTCCCCATCTATTAGATTCTAGGTACCACAAAGATATTAACTATGCCCCATTTAGCTCTTACACCGTTGGTGATGACAAAGAGAGGTCATGCCATGATGGTTGTAAATGTGATATTTTTCATTGAATTAACATTGGAGGAGATGATATAAGTAAGCAAAATGTTTCTTTTAGGAAATGCTAAATATGTGTGCCATTGCAAGGGCAGCCAAGGCAAGGGGGAAAGGAAGAGGAAGACAATAACCCTACATTGAACCTCATAAAGATAGATACAAAGCAAACATTGCTTTTCTTTCTTTTTCCTTGTCTTTCTCATTTTGTTGACGTTATTATTGTTGTTGTTCCTTTTTCCAATTTTTTGAAACTTTTATAATGTGGAACTAAAACCTAAATAGGTAGAATAATAGGGGAAGTTAGACAAATTTTATACCAGACTATTAATCCAAAAGTTGCTAGATGTAATTCAGAATAATTCCCAATAATTCAATTGAAGATGAAATATCTCACCTGGGTCAGGGGAGTCTTCCCCTTTAGGGGATTCTGTGAAGAAAGAACAGCACACACACACAAACACAAAGAAGAAGTTTAAAATGGAATTACAAACTGTGTGGAAAGATTATTAAAATGTCAGGAGGCATCCTCATAACAAATGACTATATGGCTTTCAAGGGTTTCGTTTGCTTATTTTCTGTCATGGGATTGAACCTAGAATCTAGAATGGTAGGCAAGTGCTCTACCATTGACCCAAGTCTCCTTTACTTTTCACTTTAAATTGTGTGACCTAGACTTGAACTCTCTCTGCAGCCCAGGTAGACATTGGACCTGTGAACCATCCTCTTCTGTCTCCTCAGGAAGGAACACAGACCTGTACCTTCAGGTCCAGTTCTAAGAATTTATTTAAACAACAAACTTTTTCATTAATTCATTTTGTTTGATTCTGTCATTTTTTGATGGGCTATTTACTGATTGAATAGCCATATTTAAGCAAATAACCTAATATATTTACTATTCAAATTAATTATAAGTTGTTCTATCTGATGGTATGTCAACTTGACACAAGCTTGAGTCAGCTGAGAGAAATGAATTCAACTGAGAAAATGCCTACATAAGATACTGCTATAGACAAGATGGCCTGCAGAGCATTTTCTTTATTAGTGATTGATGGGCAAGGTATTATCCCATTGGAGTAGTAGTACAACCCTGGACATGTGTTGTATAGAAAGCAGGCTGAGCAAACTTTAAGGAACAAGCCAGTAAGCCATTCTCCTCCTTGACCTCCACATTGCCTCGTGCTCCTAGATTCTTGCCCTGTTTGAGTTCCTACTTTATCTTCACTTCTGTGATGGACTGTTACATGGAAACATAAGTGAAAGAAACCTTTTCCTCTCTACATGGCTTTTGGTCAAGGTAGTTTATCACAGCAATAGAAACCCTAACTAAGACATATGTCAATGGCATTAAAACTCTTATAAACGAAAGAGGGATGTGTTACTCCATTGTCAACCATGGTCTGCAGGACTATTTAGAGAAAAACATTCAAAAATGATTGGTGTGGATGTGTTCTGCTGATATACAAACACTATCTCACTGACCCAAGAGACATGATGTGAAAGGCTGGCTCATGTTTAGCACTTTGACTGAGGACTACTAAAACATTGGGGGTTCCACTCTCTTTTGAGACATCTTTTTTTTTGAGACATCTTATACCAATTTTTAGAACTTCTAAGTGACAGAAATGTAAGCAAAAGTTAAAGTATGACAAATTCTGAATGAAAATGAAGCATAGCCTTAAATAAAGATTTACCTTGCTCTTGAAGAGAATTTTCATCATCTAGGATTTTAAACAAAAAAAATATAATAGATTTAAGATTTGATTTAATTGATTCCAACTCCGTACTTGTATAAAACAAGAAAATATAGATATGAAAAAGAAACACCTTAGAGACTACTGGGGAAATTAAGATTTACATTATACACAAAACACATGTGTATGTGGTTTCAATACAATGAGCCATCATTTCTGGAAGTAGAACCCTAGTCCCCATGATGTACTAAACAAGAAGTAAAAAGGAAATTAACCAACCAATTGTTTTCTTTCCTTTTCAATGTAGCACATGCTTGACAATCTGATTTCCTAAACCGGTACAACTTGAGAATTCAACCATCCATGACCATGTGACTCACTGTTAGCAAGACTTTATTACCCACAAAACTTTTTCCCAGAAGACAAGCTTTTCAAAGAAGGATTGCTTATTTTCAGGAAATTATCCAAAACTCTTTTAATCAAACACAAGTCTGTCCAATTCTCTAAAGCCATTACTGTTTATTCTTGATGAGTATTTTCATAGCTCCTTCATCATATCATAAGTTGTATATTTTACACAATCTTAATGAAGACCTCATTCCATCCACCAGAACCCAGAACTTTATTTGTTTGAATATTTCAATTTTGCCTCTTGTTTTTAAACAATGATTTAGAGAAAAGCGGTACTTTATTTCATTACATAAATAAAAAACTCATTTTTATTCACCAGCAGATTGCTTTGATAGTATCTTGGGGTACCCAAATTTTGCTAGCCTTTCAAGATATATTTTCACTCAGAAGTTGCTTAGATTTTGGAAAAGAAATGTTCTAATTGGAGCTCTGCACTTCACTGAACTGTAATGCTTTTCCTGGGAAGCATGTGTATTTGAAAAACAGCAGAAGAACCTATTAATCCAACTTTCATCAAACATGAAGGTTTAATAAGAATTATCAATATTTCTAAATGTTCAGGTATTTGTTGGAAAGAAAAAGAATATCTAGGTGAATTATAAAATTTTCACCCTATTCACACAGAGAGTGAGTGTTTAAAATTGCTGCATGTTCAAATAGTAAACATTACACTGTAAAGATGTGGTCTTAGAATATACACCCAGATTTTTAGACACATCTCTTTGCCATCAGTGAAAAAATGATACAGAAACTAATGTTGTCTATACTTTTAATGGTCTGCTCTCTGAATATTAACTAATTTCTTATAAGAAGCAGCCCAATTCTACTCTTTTCCATGAATTTCAGACCCATTTTTCCTCTTACCTTCATTGACCCTTTGAGATGAGGTCAGGGCCAGCAGGGCCATAGAGAGCAGAACCAGAAGCATCCTGGAGGCAGCCATGGTGTCTCTTTCTTTTGATGCTGCAAGGAACTTCAGCACAGCCTTTATAAGACCCAGCAAAACAATGTATCCTTGAAGACCATGAGTTGAGAACTTCCTATCCGTATCTAATTTGTTACTTGAGCCTCAGCCAGACTAGTTGGATTAGACTAAAGAACAGGTAGGCTGTATTCTTCAAAGAAAACTAATAATTTCTTCAGGTTCTTTGAAACAATGGCTCATTATCTTCATTTATTAACTCTAAGTGTTACTAATTGTCTTCCATGTTTAACATTCTACCTGGAACTGTGCTTCTCTGTTTTATTACAGGCTCTAACACTGTTCTGACTTTCCACAGTGTCGTTGATTTCGAGATAGTTTCCTATAGAATGAGCCAAGAGAATCAAAATGAAAGCAGACTTTAAAAGAAAAACAAAAATTCAATCAAAAAAAAAGGAAGCACAAGTAAAGAAAACCTATGATAAGATATCTTCTATGACTTGGAAATCTTCAAGAGTAGTTGCCAATAAGAGCAAACCCAATATTAATGACTGGCTGGGAAAACATCCTGTTAGGGTCACTCAGTGAACTGAAGATATTCATCTTGGAAAGAGAAGATTGCAACTAGGTACACCTCTCATTTTTAGTGATATCGAACAAAGAGCACTTTTGTTTGAATCCTTCTAGAAAGTGTGACTCTCAACTAACAAAAGAACATTTTGTTGGTAACATAAAAGTAATTCTATAAAATTCTTGAAATTATCTTAAACAATTTTAGTTCATTTTTAAATTGCCTTAATATTTTTAAATATCTCAGGAGAATATGAGTAAATTTACTATAATTATTGATACTTCAAATAAATAATTTGAATTCTCCATTAAAAGGAACAATGGGGAAGTTTCATACATAGACACAGCTGCTAGGTATCTTTATTGTTTATCTCACTATTTTGTTCTTCTTTTCTCTCAAATGCTCTCTTATTGGCTCTTTCTAAAAAAGATATCATGGCCCTCCCACCATATGCTTAAAATATGCCCTTAAATATACAATTTTAATCTTGCTTCTTTTTCAAGGTACTTCACATTTATTTTCTTTCATTTCACTTCCAACTTAATTATTAAATCTATGCTCCTCTCTTTTGTTTTTATTCTCTATATAAGCACTCAAAAATAATAAATAGAACAATAGACTGATCAGTAAAAGATAGTCATAGAGATGAATGTGTAGATAGATGATAGGTGATAACTAGATAATAGATGATAGATAGACAGATAGACAGACAGACAGACAGACAGATAAAGATAAATAGGCAGATAAGTGGATAGATGGACAAATATGTTATGATATACTTAATGGGAACCAAGGTTTGTTCTGCTTATTGTGTACAGGTACTAACTCACTTAATCATTATATATTTAACTTTTAAAATATTTAATGTATTTATTATGTTTATGTGAAATTTAATCTTATATATAAAGGAATTAGTTTGCATTTTCAACATTTTGTTCTTGGGACTGGTAAGATGCCTCAGGGAATTAACAACCCCTCCGTTCTAGTGGTTGAATTCCCTGTTATGGGTGCTGGGAACTAAACTCGTGTCCTCTGGTAAACCAGCAAGCACTCTTAAACTCTGATTCATCTCTTTGTGATACCAAAACTAATTTCTTACCATCCCTGTCCAGTAAAACATCTTGTTGATTAAAAAAAATTGGTTTAAATGATGGTGGGTTAAAAATGTAGCAAAATACATGCATTTCTTTGATTTACCAGTGTCCCAACTTTGACTCTGTTGATGCCAGTCATTTTCATAAGTTCAGTTCTCGCATCTGTAGTCATCATTCTGCAGTTGGCTAGTTGTCAAGAGTAATGTAAAAACTTATGTCAGATGCTTCAATGACTCGGTGTTGAGAGACTAAGATTTGTAGCCATGGCTTTTTATTTGATAGACTAGTCACTACACTAATCTTTCTGAATTAGATATGCAAGAGGCAGATTCGTAAGTTGTTATGAAGAAAGTTTAATAGTCTCTCATTAGCCAATGATTAACTTTGATTTCAGAATTCTGGAATTATGATTTCCATAGTTTCTGAAAAGAATTCAAGGAACCTCCTGTGAAGAAAGAAGGACATGGGCAGATGGTTTCTTTCTGAGATACATCTTACAGAGTCATAAGAGGCAAGCCCATCCTTCTTCCTCTGTGTCACAGTGGCTGGAAAACGCAAAAAAATAAAAAATAAAAAACATAAAGGGACAGAGCAGTAAGAGAGACTTGGGGCTACAATCTCAATGCTGAGATATGAAGACAGATTGATTGGAAGTTCAAGAGTAACCTGGAGCTCCCAATAGATCAGCTCCACTGTCTCAGTGGGTGGGTGCCGGCTGGACTGTGACTGAAAAAGCATGGGATAAAACTGGACTCTCTGAGCATGGCCAACAATGAGGGCTGATGAGAACCCAAGGACAATGGCACGGGGTTTTGAACCTACGTAATGTGCTGGCTTTGTGGGAGCCTAGCCAGTTTGGATGTTCACCTTCTTAGAAATGCACGGAGGGGGGAGGACCTAGGACTTACCACAGGGCAGGGAAATCTGACTGCTCTTTGGGCTGGAGAGGGAGGGGGAGAGGAGTGGGGGGAGGGGGAGAAGGGTGGGAGGAGGGGGAGGGAAATGGGAGGCTGGGAGGAGGAGGAAATTTGTTTTTTTTTTTCTCTTTTCTCAATAAAAAAAAAAAGTTAAAAAAAAAAAAAAGAGTAACCTGGACTACCTCATAAGAACCTGCCTCAGAAAACAAAACCAGAGTGAAAGAGACAAGACAGAAAACAGAAAGGAGGGGGTGGGGGAAGAGGGGAGAGTGGAAGGGAGGAGAAGGAAAGGAAAGGGAGAGGAGGCAAATCTGTAGCTCCATTAAGTATGCAACAAGAGGTGAGGGAATGATGCTGAAGACAGGTGTCAGCAGAGGCTCTTCTAGAAAGCACATTTAAGTCAGAATTTGTGCTTAGCTATGAACTTCAAGTAAGAAGCAGTTGCTTTGAGATTTGTAGAACAAATTGACATTGAACTCTCTTTATTAAATTCTTGGGGAATGGGCCATGCTCCCTCGGGGAACTGTTTTGGCTGACAAGTGCGTGGGAACTTATTGCTCATTCTTTACATCTATTTGGGAACAGACCCAAAGCTACCCTTTCACCACAAAAGGTTTTGCTTTTAGTAATCTGAACCATCACTACAACAGAACATAATTCAGCCATCAAAAATAATTTAGAACATCACAATACAGAAGGGTATCCAAATTAAGTAATTATTAATTAAAAATAAAAATTATCTCACTTTTGCATGAAAAAAATCTTTTCACCTGTCTACCCATGCACCTATTCCTCTATATGTCTGTCCATCTAGCATCTTTCATTATCTTGTTATGGATATACTTATTTCATGGATAAATATTATATATATGTGTGTGTATATATATATACATATATATTACCCATATCAGACACTGTTGTCAGGAAATGTGTGAAATTATAGACAAATTATTATTTATTGGGGTTTTTTGTAAGTAATATTGTAGAGGTCATTTGAACTGTTTGTTCGTTTGTTTGTTTGTTTGTTTTTTGAGACACAGTTTCTCTGTGTAACAGTCCTAGCTGTTCTGGAACTAGCTTTTGTAGACCAGGCTGGCCTCAAACTCACAGAGATCCACCTGCCTCTTTCTCCTGAGTGCTATGATTAAAGGTGTGCACCATCACCACCCAGATATCATTTGGACTTTTTTTATCCTTCTATATTGTTTAAATTTTTATAATAACTTCTTACATTTTAAAAAATTCCAACAAAAATGAAGACCCCTGCCAGCACACTCTGAGCTGACATACTCTGCTAGGATTTTCCACAGCCTCAACTTCGTCCTTCATCCTTTGTTCTTTCCACCTTAGATCTTGGCCTTAGCAGTGACCTTGAGCTTTTTAGCAGTGACATTTAGCCTGAAGCTTGCTCCAGTCAACAATTGGCACACTCTTTTCCATTATCCGGTAATAAATGTGTCTCATGCCTTAATTCCATTTTCTCCATGAGGGTATGACCTTCACTATAATTCTTTAATTACAGACCTTTCTTCCAAGTATTATGCTTTCTCCTGAAATTGTTTTGAATTACTGGAAGTCATGGCCTTGATTCAGTTCTTATGACTACCGTTGAGAATAATGATATTTTGTGATTAATTCTTGAAACTGGTTTGTGTGAACAAACAATTGTGTCTTTAGAGTTATTCAATCATTAACCTAACTCTTGAAAATCTTGCAAACAGGTGCCATTATCACACTAATGATTTAAGTAAATAAATTGAAGTGTAGATTGTATTTGTCTGGGGAGTTTTAGAGATGAGATTTTACTTACTTTATTCATTAACCAATAAAAGCAACACACATACAGAAGGACATTCCTACATCATTTTGCCTTGTCCTTTTAATTTTAGCAAAATTTGTGAGTTAACCCTCTATATTATGCCACATACCATTATTTGTTTATCTTTATTTTGTTACTCTTTGTTTTAATTTCTGTTATATTCTTGATTTGCTTGTGAATTTCTCAAACTGACTAGCAACTTTTGGTCATTGTTCTTTGAACACAGAACATATAGAGAAGAGGATTTTTTTTCCTGGTGTTTGGTTACTACTTGTGAATCCTTCATTGTTTCTAGTTTTTTATTTTGATAAAAATATTTTGTAATAAATACAAATTGTCTGATGCTCAGGGCAAGCAACACCATAACCATCTATACTTTAAATTCTAAAGTTCACTAGAAGATCATAGCTTGATGGGAAAGGCAGGGCCATGGAAATCAGTGCCCATGGGAGGCAGCAAGGAGTAACATGCAAAACACATCTGAATCTCAAATCAAATGTTTATGTCAGGTCAGCAGCCCCTTTAGAGTCCTAAATTTTTTAAATACATATTATTTCCAAATTTTATTTATGAAAAATTTACTCATCCATGTTTGTTTATCTGATGCGAAATTTTCTTAA